AAATTGATTCAAATGTTAAATTTTAAATTTTAAATTTAAGAATTAAAAATAAAATAAAATAAAAGAAGAGAATTAAATAATGTCAAATTAGTTATTAAAGTAAATCACTAGGTGTAGTTCTAATGGTTATCAGAAAATACAAATGTCCTGATCATTGAATGAAAATATGGTAAACGAAATTGCATGTGCAATAATAGAAGTACATTTAGCCCTCCGTGAAGTAGACATGTCTAATGCATACAGTGGTGTTGCGTGTACTCATAAACCTTACGTAAGCCTTGGTCTATGGTGAACATCGGCTCCCAATTGAAAGTCTCACGAGTCTTTTGAGGATCACCAATACAATGTTTGTGAACTTCCTTAGTAATTCGTTTGGGATCGAATGAATACGGACCATCTCTCAGTGTCGCGTATTTGTGCCAAAATAGTGTCGGATCATTAAAATCTGGTTGGATCTTTTGGCCAGAAATATCGCACAATTTGGAATATAGTTCCGGTACCGACCAGCCGGTGCCTGTTGCAACATTGAATATATCTGCACGAAACGTTTCTTTGCTTCGCCACATCATCAGCATGAGAGAGATTAGATCATCACTATAGATATAGTCGCGTTCTGCATTGGTCTGATTGAATAGCGTTGGTTTTCTACCAAGTGCAAGTTCACGAGCGACGTATGATGTAAATGGTGGCGACTTTCGACGAAAGTCTTGGTGAGGGCCGTAAACGTTGAAGAAGCGGCAAATGATAATATCCATGTTGTAATTTTTGGCATATGCCTTGCAGACTTCTTCAGATGCAGCTTTTGTCATTGAGTAAATTAAATCTGGTTGAATAGAGTCTGTTTCCTTATGTTTACCACTATCATTAACACTGTTCTCATAGACAGCAGATGTTGACGAAAAAATGATTCTAGTAACTTTAGATAAACGTGCGGCCTCAAGAACGTTTGCGGTTCCCGAAACATTAACGTCATACGCAGATAGCGGATCACTTTGACAAACAGGCAGAGCGGATACGCCAGCGAGGTGAAATATCGTATGCGCACTAGCAAACACAGTCTTCAAATCTGGATCTCGAATATCTTTTACGACCAATTCCCCAAACGTTTTGCCATCAATAATTAAATTATCAAGATGACCAAATGACATATTATCCAAAAGAATAACTTCATGACCCTGGTTGTGCAACTCTGCTCCTAGCTGAGAACCAATAAAACCAGCACCACCAGTAATAACCACTCTTTTCTTTGTTTCTTCTTGGCCTTTCAACATTATCAGTTACTATTCTGTGCAAATCTCGTAATTAAGAACCACAGTAAGGTGCACGTAATGCAAAAGTTGAGCAGAAAACAAAACTTAATCAATTATACATCAGTTGATAGAGCTTTCTGCGTTGATTCAGAATATATACCTTTCAAATTTCCAGATCTCATGA